ACCGGAGTGACAAAGTGCGAATATAGTGAAGAAAAGTGAATACAAGTACTGTGTGAAGTGCGTGTTATTAGAGTAATTAGTGACATTATTTTGTGTGTGTATTTAGTGAATTTCAGTGCGTAATTATAATTTTTAGTGTTAACAAATTCCTCGTAGATTTAATTAGAAATAAACCCTTGAAGAAATCTACGGCGTTTCTATCCGATCCCCTAGCTCGTAACAATATAATATGCATGATTTATAGATGTGTGTGTATATATACTATACAAATGTTCGGGTTTTCTTTGTTTCCTAATTTAAATATATATATTTCATAAAAAAGTATGTGTCTTTGCGTCCTTTAAAATATTTGCTATTAGCAGCATCAACAATAACTATTTTAGATACAAAAGTTATCTCTAACCTGATTTTATGTCAGCAGTAATAGCTGCGAGTTCAATTTTGATTGTTTCTAAATACTTATGTAATTCCAATTTTATAAAGCACACATTAAGCTCAATCACTGTTAACATAAGCTGAAAGAATATGCCGAGAAAAATATCCACTGTCACTATAACAAATTAATATAAATTAACATTTTTCTGTATCTTTTTTCTTCATATTTTATAATTTATAAATAAAATTTAGGCAAGGTTTTGTTATTATTGATTGATTTCCAGTATATAACTGGATGGTTTCTTCGTGACACTCTTAGCCTTAGAGTATTGGATTAAATTCTTTCTACGTCAAATTTCTATATTTAAAATACGTCTATCAAAAAGCTCGCCTATCGTAAAAACATATATTTTCAATTGCAATTTAAAAAACAAAACACACTACCTTCGATGTTTGCGGAGTAGATAAACGGAAGTAAGCACAACACCATTCGTAAAGTAGCAAATAAAGTGATCAATATATATCGTCTTCGCTCTTTTACTATATTATCTTCTTTATTTATCTGCAAAAGTTAAACATATGTTATACATTTATCATCATAAGAAGTGTTATTTTATTTTAAAGTTCATAGTTCATAATAATTTAAACATAATTGTTCCTAGTGTTTTCCCATTTTGTCCTCTCTTCAAATAAACTCTTTTTAAAGCCTCAACTAGCATCAGGATACTGGGCGTTGACATACCGAATGACATTTAGTTTCATTTGACGGTCATTTGGAAGGAAAGGCTTTTAATTAGCCTGTAAGAATCTTCGTCTAATCTGCAAAGCGCGACGGTAGTTCTACCAAGCCATCCTTGCAAATCTATAAAGCGCAAATTTGGCCTGACATGGAGTACTGCTCCCACCAATAAGTGGGAGCTCCCCAGAACGAGCTCTTTCCACTTGACCGTATTCAAAGAAGAGCGGTTCGAATTGTCGACGATCAGTTATTTTCCGAAAGATTTGATACTTGGCGTTGCGTTGAGTTCTGCATCTTCTACCGCATTTATCATGGAGAGTGTTCCGTGTTTGGAATAATACCTACAGCTGAGTTTTATCATCGGTCATCGAGGCAGAATACGAATTTCCACCGATAACACCACGACTTATTACCACGCACCATCACTAAGTGGAACTTTCTTCTGGCCAATGAAGTATTTCCAAACTAATTTGAATTAGGGTCTTACAATATCAGAGTGTACGAATTCCTACAAGGTCGGCAACGCACTAAGAGCGCGGCCACACGATGCGTTAACGGTGCGGTGCGGCGTGTGACACACTATAGCTCGAAGTAATTGCGGTGCGGCGCCGCACCGCACCGTTACCGCATCGTGTGGCTGCGCTCTAACAAGCCTTCTGACGTGTGTGACTGTGTAAGTGTTCATGTCCTGCTCGCCTACCACTTGTTTCACAAAAAAAACTTACCTAAACGGCTTACGCACTTGAAATTGGAAAAAAAATTAAAATTTTCTTTCTCATGTTTAAAATTTTAGCCACACGTAGATAGGCTTATTTTATCAAAACCATAGCAATGCATAAATAAATAATTTCAATACACCCATCAAAAATCACATAAGCAATCTGTGCCACGTTATATTATGTAACTTTTGCAATAAAATAGTAATATTTACCGGAACGTGTTCTAAAAATACGCTCATACGAGTTTTACTGCTTAATACTGCAATGTTCAAAAACATCAATAACGGTAACCAATTTATCACTTTTATTATAAATAAAATAAGATGATCATTTTCGAAAATTCCCCAATAAAGGTTGTGAAAGTAAAATTTGACCTGCAGGACATCTGAAAAGTCATTCGTAAGTTAATAGAAAATTTTATACATTAAATTATTACTAAACAATAAATTATTAATAATTTTTCCAAATTAATTTTACTGAAATAAATGTTACTTACTAATAATTCCCACAAATATATACTCATAATACGAAGACTTCAAAAGATGTATACAACACCCATCTTCAACTGGCTTAAAACTGATAGGAGCCAAACCAAATGCTCGGGATATCCTTAATATAAACAGGAATGAACCATTTACTACGCATGACCCGTCCGTAGCCATAATTATATTGTTTTGTCTACAAAGTGCTACGAGTAAGTGTAGCAATAATTATTCTGCTACGTCGTAGCCATCAGCACATTATTACTAACCGTATATAAAACTCATATCTCTACGGTTGATCAATAGAATTTTGTTGCCCTAGTAGCTTAGGTGGTGACGCATTATAAATAGAAATATTATATTATGTATTTAAATATATGACTAATGACTATACCATTATCAAGGGAATAAAAGTTTGTAAGAGTGATTAATTCTTTACGAAGCTACTTGTATAATCATGATATTAATCTGTATCCAAATTAGTTAATTACAAATATTTTATTTTGAATAATATTGCCCACTTGATTTTAATTAATATCTTAGGAGATATTTTAAACACAATCTTGTTTAATAAGAAGTGATCGAGCACGTACCTACTGCGCGCATGTCCGGCGCGACAAACGCACGGGGCACATCTAGTTCTTATGAAATGACATAAATACTACACTAGCCTAATAACCATACAATCTTTTCAGTTATTAGTATGAACAAACATAGTCGTTATTTTGTTTTGTAAAATGTAACTATGGAGAATTAACATCGATTTTTTCGAATTTTGAATACATTTATAACATATTCAAATTTATTCGTAAACGAGAGTACTGAAATTTTAAATTGTAACGCCATCTTTTTTTTCTGGAGAGGCGCGCATTTTTTTTACACATTGTCTATTTCATTTTGACTGTACTTAAATAACACAGCCAATACTGTGACAGTTTAGATAGTTCACTCACTCCAATCCAATCAATCAAAATTAGGTGGTATTTTATTGTTCACTTTACGGGCAGTAAATTTCTATCTAGACAGTGACATAGGCAAACGAACAAGAACAATGAGATTAAAAATATAAGTAACATAGTGTCCATCTTTTAATAAAAAATACTTTTAAATTAACATTTATTTTCAATTCTCAAATTCCAAATACTTATGTAATTCCAATTTTACAAAGCGCACATTAAGCTCAATCGCTGTGAACATAAGCTGAAAGAACACGCCGAGAATAAAAGCCACTGTCACTAAAACAAAATAATAATTAACATATTTCTGTATCTTTTTCGTGAATATTTTTACTTTATAAACAGGGTTTAGGCTAGTTTTTGTTATTATAGATTTCCAGTGCATGACTGGCTGGATTAATCGTAACACTCTTAATCATTGCATTAAATTCTCTCTAAAATACATACGAAACTATATATTTTAAATAAATCTATCAAGAATCACATCAATATTTAAAACATAAATTTTTATATACTTCCAATCATACTTAAAAAAACAAAACATCTACCTCTATATTCTGTGGAGTAGATAAACGGAAGCAAGCTCAACACAATCCGTAAAGTAGGATACAAAGTGATTAATAAAAAACCGTCTCCGCTCTTTTGATACATTATAATTTTTATTTATCTGAAACCGTTAAACATATGTTATTTATTGATCATCGTTATAAGAAGTGTTATTTTATTATGAATGTATTTTCTATAAAAGTTTGTAGTGGAGTGTACGTAGCATATACGTAATTTAAAAATAAAAAAAAATTGTGCGTGTACTAGGTGTACACACGTAAGAAGTGAAACTTCTTTATGATCTTATTTTTCGAAAAATGATCTACTGTATGCAACTTTACAGAAATTCGTTAAATTAGATAAAGTTTAACAAAAGGCTTTTATTATCATAGACATGAATACAAATATTTCATTTTACCTTATTACTACGAAGATTATTATAGAATTTCATTCATTGTAATAGAATTATTACTATCATTGAAAAACGTGACGATTTGCTACAAAATTTGTCCCATACGTCGATAAAGAAGTTTCATTCCAACGCCGATAAAGAAGTTTGACTTCAAAAAGCAACATGGCGCGTAACCGAAAAATGTGACGCGTAACGAAAAAATGTTACACTAAATTTTTTTCCAACCTCGATAAAGAAGTTTCACTTCAAAAATTGCTTCATGTGTAAAATTTTCGTGTACCTACTTCAATACAAAAAGTTTGACAATAATAGCGGGCCGTGATGGTTTTCTTTCACTTTACAACCTTATCCGACGAAATCTCAGAGGCAGGAGGATATTGAATGTACTAGAGAGATTTTTTTTAATTATTCAGTTGTGTATTCCCATTTTACTTTTACTAATATTTAGAATAAATATTAAAAAAAGGATTTTCATAAAACCGCTGACAGTACTATCCTTCTATAGTAACTATATCCGTCATCGGGACGTGAGGTCGTCCACTTGTGAAATAACCTATTACTGAAGTTATTTCATCAGCGCTAGCAGTGAACCCCCATCCTTGTGGCAGTGCCAGGCCATTGCGTTTCTGCGGTCAGTGAGATCCGAGGAGCACATCCCCCCAATGAATATCAACTAAACGGTTCAAACTAAGAAAACCTTCCACACTGCAAAGCGGCCTGTAACCTGACTATTCCTACCGAGACTCAGATATCCTCCCCGGCTAATACTTCCTACCTACCCTCCTCCCTGAGCCTTCTGAAGGGACTCGAGCCTTCTGATCTCTCGCCGAAGCTGTCGTGATGGACAAAGGACACCACTGTGTAGAGAGGATGAATCGTGGGCCCATATCGCAACCTTTTAAGGTCAGGCATCTCCTTATCTCCAGCCTAAAGGCTGTCTCTTTCCGTCAATAGACTTTTCAACACCAAGGAAGGGCACTACCAACTATTTTACGGTGTGATACATGCACGATGCCGGGAATTTTACTCCGGCAATGTGCTGTCCGTAAAGTTATATCCTCTCTCCTCTTTTACAAGATTAGATTTATACGAATTCCTACAAGGCCGGAAACGCACTAACAAACCTTCTGACAATTTAAGTGTACAATCCTGTTCTTTTACCACTTGATACATTAAAAAAAACTAACTTTATAATGAAATTGTAATATTTACAGGAACGCTTTCTAAAAATACGCTCATACGAGTTCGCCTGCTTAATACTGCAATGTTCAAAAACATCAATAATGATAACCAATTAATAACTTTTATTACAAATATAGTTAGATTATATTCCCCCACAACTTCCCAAAGTGGGTCGTGAAAGTAAAATATGAACCGCAGAACATCTGGAATGTTATTTAAAAGTTAACAGTAAATATTCTGCATTTAATGATTAATATAAAAATTATAATTGCAATTTTTCCAAATTAATTTTACTAAATTAATGTTACTTACTAATAATTCCCACAAATATATACTCATAATACGAGGACTTCAAAAGTTCTATACGACACCCATCTTCAACTGGCTAAAAACTGATAGGAGCCAAACCAAATACTCGGGATATCCTTAATATAAACAGGAATGAACCATTTATTACGCACGACCCGTCCGTAGCCATCATTATAATGTTTTGTCTACAAAGTGCTACGAGTTATGTAGCAGTAGTTATTCTGCGACGTCGTAGCTATCTGTACATTATTGTCTCGACATTAGATCTGAAATGCAATTACATACAATTTTGTTGCCCCAGTAGCTTAGTATATGAATGATAAAAATGCTTTTAAAATTATGATATTAATCTATGGAAGTTACTAAATTACAAATATTTTATTCTGAATTTTAGAGTCTAAGGAGGATCTAAGTATTTTCAACAAAATCTTGTTTAATAAGAAGTGATTGAGCACGTACCTACTGCGCGCACGTCCGGCGTGACGACCGTGCGGGGCACAGCCAGTTCCTTATAAAATGAAATAAATACTACATTAGCCTCATACAAGCTTTTCAGTTATCAGTATGAGCTAACATAGTCGTTATTTTATTTTGTAAAATATAACTATGGAGAATTAACATAGATTTTTTCGAGATTTGAATACATTTATAACATATTCAAATTTATTCGTAAACATAATCGAAACACTGACTAAGGTTTATATATTATAAAACGAAGGAATATGTTGGTCCTTTAATTTCTAACGCCATCGTAATGCTCTACTGAATATAAAAACAACAATGTTTGTCTTGTTTAAGTTTAAGTATGTTTTGTTGGTCCTTTATCGTTTTTTTTTATCAAATACGATTTTGTTCCTGTATGAATGAAGCTAAAAGTTGTCTGCTGAGTTAACTAGTTCTAATTGTTCTTATTTTCAATTGTTCCATAATAATTATTAAACATCAGGTGAAATAAATACACAATATTCAACAACTAAAACTATATTTTAAATATAAAACCTCAGCGACTAATTTCTTTAATGTACAAGTGCAGGCAGGAAGATTTCATTTCCCTACGTATAGTTAATGATCTTAATAATGTCATATATTTAGTAAGAGAAATCTTAAAAATAGAGTACTGAAATTTTTAATTGTAACGCCATCTGTTTTTTTTACACATTTTCTATTTCATTTTGACTGTCCTTTACTTATTTAAAATAATACAACCAATACGGTGACAGATTAGATAGTTCACTCTACGGGCAGTGAATCAGAGATGAGACATAAGCAAACGAACATGAATAATGAGGTTAAAACCAGTAACATAGTGTCCATCTTTCAATTAAAAGTACTTTTAAATTGACATTTATTTTCAGTTCTCAAAACAAGGGCGTAGAATGGGCGAAAAAAACTACAAATAAACAAGATTTATTTTAAAAAATGTTTGTGAGGAGCTGTGACCCCGGCTAATATACACGAGTAATAGTTATTTTATTTTGGAGTCCACTTAGTCACAAAGGGATCTTCACTTCAGATATTAGAATTATGCAGTACTCGCTAGAATTCCAATATGGTAAATTTAACCTATCTGGACCGAAACAATACCGTAGGTGACAACTGTGGATAGTATCTGTAATAAAAGAATATTTTATTGTTTGATCGTTTAAAATACATATTAAACACTAGTGCCCTTCAACAAATAATAATTTAAGAAAAAAACAAAAACAAGTTTATAAATGGTACCGTCCTTGTTACCATGGCAACCAATCTTTCTTTAGTACCTTGAATTTAAGACACGTTAATAGTCAGAATAATAGAACAAATACACACACATCAAAGTGAATCATGGTTGAAAATAATACACGAATTCCGACCAGGGACCGTTCATTAGTACAACGCATTGGCAGTGTGTCCACGAGCGCCATTTAGCTTCAAATGTGCGTCAAAACAATTTGTTCCTGTTTCATAATAAAACTTCTAATAATAAAACGTTCTATATAAGTTATATTTACCGGCCCAATCAGCCCTCGAGACACTGTGAATAAGCCCATAGGCATCAGCACTGGATTATTGATTAACACGCCGGACTGAAAAATTTCAGCTTCCAGGGGCATTATCTTTCCAACAGACGTGACTAATTGAGATAATTGTGCTATTTGATATCTTATTTCGTCCACCTGTCGATTTAAAATTCAAATTGTACGACTTACTTACTATGTACATTGTACATATGTTTGACCGGAAATGGGACTGGATAAAATACGAAATATAAATGGATTTGTCTGAAGGAGACTTTGAGGGTTGAGAACCCCATATTTAGGGGTTTTTTTTATGTTTATGTGCGGATTATAATTAGTACAACTGTTATTTAAACGTAAGGTTTATTATGATCAGTTGAATAAATTATTGGGAAGTTTGCTTGTTTTTTTGTTTTATTCTGCTAATTGCATTATGTAATTTTTAATTTACCAATATACAAATGCCATTGTTATATTCAATTCAATTTCCGGCGGTCATTGCGTTGTAACGCATATTTTGCTATCATGGCAATTTATCACAATGTCTTAAGAATGTACCAAATCATTACTTACGCCAATATAAAAGATTTACGACTCCGAATGAATGGAATTAATTTACGAATATCAGAAACTTCTTACGTAACTTAGAGTACTAACTCACACAAATTATATCAAATAAAATTTTAGTATTTATTAACTTTACCTATATACGGCAATAGACATATATACATATATGTCTATATACATATTATACTAGCTGACCGGGCAAACGTCGTTTTGCCATGTATATCATTTATAATAAAAAATAGGGGTTGATCGTAGAGGGGTGAAAATTAGGGGTTGTATGTATTCTTTAATGCTGTATCATAAAAAAATAAAAACAAAAAAAAATATCTAAAAATTTAAAAAAATAAATAGGGGTGGACTACCCTTAACATTTAGGGGGATGAAAAATAGATGTTGTCCGATTCTCAGACATACCCAATAAGCACACAAAATTTCATGAGAATCGGTCAAGCCGTTTCGGAGGAGTTTAACTACAAACACCGCGACACGAGAATTTTATATATTAGATATATATTAAATAAAAATACTGGTCAATCCAAGGCCAAAACTATTTTAATCTAGATTATAAACTATATTAAAAAATAGATAAATATAAATAAATTACCCTCAAATAATACCTACTTCCTTGCTTATTTCCGAAGATGAATCCACGTATAAAATAATTCTGAATAAATGCAACACCATATAACAAAATTCCAGATATATTTGAAACGTCTTATGGTCAACATCTGTAAATAACAGAAAAAAAACATAAGGCTAAAATAGAAAGTGATTCTAACGTAAAATTCAAACAGACAAAACATCCCATCAGGCCATAAAAGTTAGGAAGAGATTCTGCACTTGTGAATTCGTTACTACATCTTCTGCGTAGGACCATTAACAAAAGAGTATGGTCAAATCTATCCCGAAATTGTTCATAGAATTAACGTGACTAATGAAGCTACGTAAAGAACGACTAAGTAGTTCACCATACCATTGCCCACATAAGTTCAATACTTACCACTTGATGTACAAGCTTGTGAGAAGTTGTATATAGTTCTTATTAAATTTATTGTACACGTTGATGATAATGCCAAGGCCAGTAAACTATCGGAATCATTGTATTTATAACAAATGTTACATATAGTCACAAAAGCCTTACTGAGCGCCCGAAGAGATATCAAAATATCAGACATTTGTGGTTTGGTCTTCTTATCTGTAAATAGGTTACTAGGTAAGAACACGCTTTCACTTTTTGTTTATATGTTAAAATTCTATGTTTTTTTAATTATATCCACCTATTGTTGGATGGGAAGTTGGTATTTGCAATCTCTCAACTGTTAATTTATATATAAGATATAATACTATAAATAAGTCTATATAAAGAAAATATATTTATAAAGAATTAAGTCTATATTGTTGTAAATATCAAACTAGCGCCGCCACCTGTTACGTTCTACTAATTGACAGTAGTCTACGTTATAATAAAAGTTTGTTTCTTCTGATGATCGTAGAACAATGTCGGATTTGAAAAAAATCCAAAATCTAATTTTTATCATTTTTGGATACTACGTACATTGACTAAATATTATGGCTACACTAAAAAAAAAATCCATGTGTTTTAAATTTCAAATTAATCAGTCGGTAAAGTGACGGATTTGATAGACGCTCATTGATTTTTCTAGAAACCTGTGTAATTTAATTAAACTCTATTGTTTGCTTGTATTCCAATTTTCATAATTACAGTATTTCAATTAAAAAAGTTATGACAAAAAACTAACATGATTAAATTATTTTGAAATGACTGCCCTGTAAAGTATACTATTTGTTAGATCCGTCACTATTCTACGACTATGACGATATATTAACACATTTCTTCCACTAGGCCATTGAGTTCATATTGAGCTACATATTAGGCGACACCGCTGGTATAAGTCAAATGGACACATTGTAACAAGGTAGTCGGGCCCACAAGGGAAAAGAAAGAGAAGTCGCCCTCTTTCACGGTGTGTTGACGAGATTAAAGAAGTTGGCGGGCAAGATTGGCTCGAATTGTTACTCAGAGGTCTTTTATTTATACCAATGTTTATTATAGACCTGTAGGTGTATGTATCTTTTGTAATAAGTTTAAATGTGAAGGAATAAATGATTCACCATTATTATTGTCTTATATCGGCAAACCTAAAAATATAATATTTTTAATGTTATTAAATATATAAATCATCTGTTTATATGTATTTGTTATCAAATTTCAAAATATTAAAAAGTATGAACCTACCCTAATATATTCTCATCAAAAAAGCATGTGTCAGGTGTCTTTTAAAACACATACTATTAGGTACAACTACTAGCTATTTTATGTATAAAAACCCCGGCGTTATCTCTTACCGGATTTCATATCAGCAATAATAGCCGCGAGTTCAATTTTAATTGTTTCCAAATACTTATGTAATTCCAATTTTATAAAGCACACATTAAGCTCAATCACTGTTAACATAAGCTGAAAGAATACGCTGAGAAAAAAATCCACTGTCACTATAACAAAATATAAATTAACACATTTCTGTACCTTTTTCGTAACAAATGTTTTATTTTACAAACAAGGTTTTATTATTATAGATTTCCAGTTTATGACTGGCTGGTTTAATCGTGCACTCTTAACCATAACGTATCGCATTCAATTATCTCTAATATTTACAAAATTTTATATTTTAAATGAGTCTATGAAGAATCACGCCAATCGTGAAAACATTTATTTCAATATCATTCGCACTTTAAAATTACAAAACAAACTACCTTCGATGTTTGCGGAGTAGATAAATGGAAGCGAGCACAACACCATTCGTAAAGTAGCAAATAAAGTGATCAATGTATATCGTCTCCGCTCTTTTACTGCATTATATGTTTTATTTATCTGAAAACGTTAAACATATGTTGTACATTTATCATCATAATAAATATATTTTTAAAGGTTACAGTGGAGTGGTGGCTCATTAATCGAACTCAATACCAGAGGGCTTGCGTGTCCGTAGATGGCCTTTATTCTTAGTGTGGTACATTACCTCACTCGGTACTGCCCAAACTGCAGGAAAATCGCTTTAATACAACCAATCACTAAAAAGGCGATCTCTCTGAAACTTCCACGAAAAAGTACCCTATGTCGTTACTCCACTCTTCAAAGACACTCTTTTAAAAGCCACAGCTATCTGCTGTAGCTAGGACGTTCCGTCCTCGGCACTTTGTATGGCTCACTGAAGTATTTCTAAACCAGTTCATCGGGTCTTTCAAGATAAGAGCGTATTAATTCCTAAAGGCCGGTAATGCATTTGCAAGCCTTCTGATAGCGTAAGTTTCATAAAAAAAAATACCTAAAAGAATGTTACTTTTAATTGAAAAAAAATATTAATTTCCTCTTCATGTTTAAAATTTAAGCGACACGTGCTAGGCTTATGTTATAAAACTAATGTAATGCATAAATAAATTATTTCAATACTCTATTAACAGACATCAAAAATTACAAAATATAGTTATGGCAGCTCAATGTGTGCTATATTATGTAACTTTTGTTATAAAATTGTAATATTTACCGGAACGCTTTCTAAAAATACGCTCATGCGAGTTTTACTGCTCAATACTGCAATGTTCAAAAACATCAATAATGGTACCCAATTAACCACTTTTATTACAAATAAAATGACATGAAATTCTCCCATAATATCCCATAAAACAAGGTTGTGGAAGTAAAATATGATCTGTAGAACATCTGCAAAGTATTTCGTAAGTTAATAGTAGGTAAATATTCTACATTAATTTATTACTAAAAAATAATTTTTAATAGTAGGTAACTTACTTTTACTTTTTTTAACTTTTGTAATTTGTTTTAATTTTCTTATTAATTATATATTATTACTAAGAAAATAGTAAATAAAAATTGTATGTATAATATATAAAATAATATATTTTTAATAGTTATTCCAAATTAATTTTACTGAAATAAAGGTTACTTACTAATAATTCCCACAAATATATACTCATAATACGAAGACTTCAAAAGATGTATACAACACCCATCTTCAACTGGCTTAAAACTGATAGGAGCCAAACCAAATACTCGGGATACCCTTAATATAAACAGAAATGAACCATTTACTACGCATGACACGTCCGTAGCCATCTTTATATTGTTTTGTCTACAAAATGCTACGAGTAAGTGTAGCAATAATTACTTTGCTACGTCGTAGCTACCTATACATAATTACTATATAATTGAACTCATATCTCTACGGTAGATCTGAGATGCAATTACATACAAATATTTTGCCTCAGTAGCTTGAGTGGTGGAGCTTTACTAATAGAAACATTGTATTATGTATATGATTGACTGACATAAACCTAAATTAAGGGAATAAATGTTTTTTAAAGTGATTAATTATCTATGAAGCTGGTTTTATATTGAATACATTAAAACATATTTTATTCTAAATAATATTACTCATAATACTACTATTTTAATTAATATCTTAGGAGGTATTTAAAAAAAATCTTGTTTTAAAATAACTCTACAACGTAAGAAGTGATCAAACACCTACGTACTGCGCGCATGTCCGGCGCGAAGACCCGCGGGGTATAGCTAGTACCCAATTCAATAAAATAACTACAACATTAGCCTCACAATCATACAATCTTTTCCGTTATCAGTATGAACAAACATAGTCGTTCTTTTGTTTTGTAAAATGTAACTATGGAGAATTTACATACTCAAAATTATTCATAAACATAATCGAAACACTGATACACTCTTTAATCCCTTGTCGATTTTTATCAATAAAAACGTTATGGCACTTTTTTTATACACCTGTATAATAGGAGAAAAGAAATAAGATATTTGGGAAACTATAGATATATTAGGGTAGCTTATTTTTTATTTAGCTTATTTGCCGGACTAATGTGGATTAGGGAAAAAAACAAACATATTAAGATATGTGTAATTTAAGTGTAAATTCAATATAACAATTAAAGTTTAGTCGTAAGGCTTCAGTGCTACAAATTAATTAATATTTGCTTAGTATTCTAGATAAAAACGTAGATCGATTATCAGATTGTCTTATTTTTACCTAGAATTCTTGGAACTTGGAATAACACAAAAAATGAATGCTGTGTTTAGCTTTGACAGTAGTAAAACATTTACGAAAATAAGAAGATGTTTTCATAACAATATAAATTGGTCTACTGAGTTTGAAACAAAAAAAAACAACCCTCGGTGTTAGCCTCGGAGCGGTTAAAGTTGTTGGAGTAAAGTTGTTTTTGATTTTCGCGTAATCTTAGTAAAATTATTTTTTATGTATGGTAAATAAATTATAAAATATAGGAAATACTTAATAATCTTAAAAAAACAATCTTAACGTAATTTTGTAGGAAAATGCGTAGCAAAGTGCTACGCTATGCTATGTCCATAGGTAGCACTACGTATATGATTTAATATGACCTAAATATCTTTCTAGTGTAAGGTGTATATTTTAATACTAAAAATGGTGAGGCAAGTTCAAAACTCTTTGTATCGTTCATTGCGATTATAAGAAAACGTTTCTATACTCTCTTTACAAAGCTATTACTTCTCCTTCCGAAGGGAAATTAAAGTCTCATAGTAAATTATAGAACCATTTAGATTTTTTTTTAAACAAAACCCGATTCCTGATTTTTGATTGAACAATTACATGTACAGGGTTCCAAGACCGTTTATTTTATTTTATCTGTTTCGTATGGATTTTTAGAAACAATTTTTTCATACAAAATATTTATAATAATTTACGTAGTTCAGACTACGACATTTATACATTGTATTGAAATCCAAAAATGTTGCAAGTGAATGGTTACAAACATTCATTTTATTTCTGACATAGATAAAAATAAATAAAATAAACATAAGTAATATAAAAACTTATATATATTCACAATAGCATATATTCTCTTAGAATACACATAAATATTTTAGTTACCTTGAAGCTTTTAACTTATGACTAAGCGTCAAAATTACGAGACCGTTGTAAGCAAAATTATATCTTATTTTTTAAACATTTAAAATATTATTTTTTATTACAATTTTTTTTTTTATTATCTCTCCAATTAATCAGTAGTGTTTCGGTAAAAATAAAAAAATATTGGACGAATCGTTAGTGATCTCAATTTTCGTATACGGCGCTGAAATGACAACTACAAGTGACGAACCGTCTTTCTTTAGTGTTCCAAAGCATCCTGAGCTTCTTTGGACATATAGCACACAGAGATCGCGATAACTTGGAGAAGCTTGTGGTGACATGTAGAGCGGCAGGCGTCTCGTTCCCGAGGGCGATCCACTACTTGCCGGACCGACCAAATGAAGGTCCTTACTGGCCTACACAGGTGCTAAGGCTTGCCGAAGATTGGGAAGAATGGAGGAAGATATGTGGTAATGATAAGTAATGAAAAACGAGACTTAAGAAGAAAAATCTGTTGCAATATGATTTTAGGTCTATTATAATTTCTATTAATATCTTTGACAACCACATAACAAAAGAAGACCAGGCGAAGTTTTAATTCGCCACATATAGTTTCGTTTAAGAAGTTCTACGAGTTTAATTGTACAACTACTAGTGAGTAGGTTACCACGACTCCAAGTATCTGAAAGAAAACATTATTACAAGATGTATACAATGCACTTGAAATTCCATACTCAATAATTATGTAACTTAATAATTCCATTATGAATAATTAACATTATTCGTAGTTATATTACATCAATGTAAGTAAGGTTTATTTATAGAATGAAATCGTTTTAAAAAAGGGCATTCTGTTTAGTTGGCTTGTACCACAAGGTACTATTTTGGTGTATTTTTGTTTTTGTTTGGTGGATTTCAAAGCATAGTTGAGTATTTGTTAAACGTTTTTAATACTATTACATAAAAAACATTTTTGTATTGTTTCCAAGGGAGATTTGAAAACTGAATGAAAAGTGACCGTACATAGAGTGTAGACAACGCCACCACAAGAAAGCCATGTTAAACTTGACAGTTGACAGCCAGCCCTGCGATTCTGTAACTCATTTTTCGAACTCGCAGGCGGTCGCGCTCAAATCGGTCGTGAAGCAGTCATTTTACGATTTGGCATTCTGATAAGGAGGGAGCTTGTAGTTTATTGTTTATCAGAATGCCATTGAGCTCGACCGCCGCTGCGAAAACCGCTGTGCGAGTTCGAAAAGTGAGTTACAGAATCGCAAGGCTGTACTAAGGCAACAACAATACATGTGGTAGCTGCCCGAATAATTAAAATTGACATACTTGTGGGATAGTTAGCTATACACCTTTGACTTTGTATCAAATCTGCATGCAAAACGTAATAGTACCTGAATAAGTAAAGATCGAGATATTGTAAAATAGCCCATAGGGATGATATCCGTTTTATTAATTAGGACCTGTAAAGCAAAGACTTCGGACTCCTCAGACAACTGTCGGTCGTTCCCAGTAAGGTGATATAGCGTTTGGCATAGTTGGTATCTTATTTTCATTGCCTACAAAAACACATTAATTTAAAAAAAGCAATAATTTTTAACAGAAGTGACTTATCAACGGGATGAATGATCGGAAAAGGAGACATTACGGAATATTTAATGCATAATTCATACACATTTATTAATAACATGACATAACATGATTGTTAACTTCAAATAGTCTATAGATTAAAAATTATACGTGTGTATAATTATTCCAAATAACAATAAGTAATATAGGATAAGTGGCAATACTTCGGCTTGTCTTTTTTATAAAATTATATTTATAGATAAAAGATAAGTTATTGCAGATATGTCATGGTGCCTAATGATAATTATTTGTGGAATTAATATGGAGCGCATACGAGACTTTAGGACGTCAAACAATGATCGTTGATTTTTCAAATCTTTAGCTTACGACTACCCCAAAGTCCTTTTTAATATAAGATATTAATATCGATTTTTGGGACAATAATTAGCAACTAAACTTTTTTTTCATTAAAAATTAATCCTCTAATTTTACTATTTTAACAAAATACCATTCAAACGAACGGTACAATTGATTTATTTTATGATTAGGGGGTACTATGTAGTATAAATATTATGCTGTAACATACTTGACGAAAAATAATAACTTTTTTTTGGTGATTATGGCTTACCTCTTGAGTTATTTGGTGCCATGGTTGAATAAATATAATGGATCTCATGTAAGTATAAAAAAACCAAAAAATATCTAGGCTGCAGTATTTTAATATCTGTACTACACCTAAAATTTAAATAATGGTTACTTTGGTACCTTTATAATAATTATTACTAAAATAAGCAAATAATTGTCATCATAATAGATAATCTAATATCTATGGTTGAATAAACCAGATAGTATCGTCTACACTTACCGTGCTCATTGCCGACATTAGAAGCTAATTGATCGGCTGTGAATATAACTTGAATAGAACATAGCGAGATCGATATCAAAGCAAAAAAACCTTCAGATTTTTCTATCTTTTCAATACATTCACAAGTTATGAGAAAATATTTGCTTAATGGTCGGAATGATAACTCCACGTTGTCAAAAGCATCTTCAGAGTCTAAAAAATACCAATCAGTTAGTTGCCTAAATAATTATTATCTGTCAGTGCTTCGTTCCGTTCGTACGTCATTCCGGATCCAATGAGCTATCGCACATAATTTTAAGAGCAGTATCTCTATTTTGTACCATTTTCAACTTGTCGACTAGACTAGATATGTTCGCTGAGAGTGTGGTGACAGCAAGGAAAGCTTTGACACAAAATTATTTCAACCATGATGAATGATATGCATTGAGATTAAGATTCTGTTTTTTTTCTTTTTTGTATAACAAACTAAAAATATTTGGCATGTTTACCTTCTTGTTTAAAAAAAAAAACTATATGTGAAGATTTGTACCTAATTGGCCCATAATGGTATATATATACATCTATTTCTGTATTGTGCTGTGAATCTTCTGAATAAATAAATAAATGATAAAATCCTGATTATCCTTCACGCTTATGTTGATAACATTTTTGATCAATTTAGCATAATAACCACAAATATTTGGAAAAATTATCATTAAGTTGGCATCTGATGTCGCGAACTTGATAAACGTAGTTTGATTATGAATAAAATAATGAAATCGACAGAAACTTACGAACAATATGTCCCTCTCTGATATTTTTATTAAGCTCGCCTAATTGGTTTTCAATATATTCCAATCGTTTGTGTATTTCGAATCCTATGATTGTCATTTGAATTTCCATCACTAGGAACATGATCCGATGTAGCTCGACCAAAATGTTTACGAAAAATTTTGGTACTGAAACATTTTAAATATTAAAATAAACTATTATTCTCGCGTTCAATATTAATGCTATAAAAAAGTCCTGAAATGACTGTAAAATATTTGTTTATAGGAAAATGAAAAAAACAAAAAATCACAAATTAACTTTTGATAGAACGAAATTTTACCTTTACGTATTCGCATACATTATATTAAAAATGTTTTTAATGTAACAGGGGGCAAACGGGCACGGCTCTCCTGATACTAAGTGATACCGCCGCCTATAGACACTCACATTGCCAGAGGGATCGCAAGTGCGTTTCCGGCTTTTTTATGTGTTTATTAATTTTAAAAATACAGAAATTTATGTGACCGTTGACACATCGGTCTCGACAATTATTGTCGATATCCAAAAAGTATATATTTAGTAATCGAATATATACAGTTATGTAATTATAAAAAAGTTATCTGATAAAGTAATATAAGGTTATTTATCAAACACATACGCGAGAAGGCAGAATCGTAAAACTTCAATAGCGATTCCATCAATAGGCCAATACTACGCATAAGTATGTACGTAATAATTATAATATATCTAATTTTTTTCTTATTATTGGTTTCCTTCTTTACCTGAAATTAAAAAAAAGGTAATGGTAAATAAAGACACAACCTTCACACCAGGTATAAAATTATAGATAGAAAGCAATGAACGCGTTGCCTAGCAACAGATTGGGACGGGTTTCGGTCTTCATTTGCGTCATACTATATTCTTTTCGTCAGATGCTCCAGATCCCGTCGATGACTCTCGCGCCGAATTTGTTCTGCAGGTAACCCTTTATTCCATTTTGTACAGTCACGGCCCTGGTTTAAACGTTATTGCAAGGTGGCCTGGCATCAAAAGAGAGAATGCAAATACCAGCGAACTTAAAAATGCACATGACTCTGCCTCTAGGTCCTTTGAAGGAGAGATTGCCAGGGCAAATTCTAACCATACTGCCAGATTTGGCGAGAGATTGGCCCGCCTCCCTTCGAGGACTCGAGCCTTCTTGTCTCTCGCTAAAGCTGTCCAAAGGAATTTCTGTTAGCCCTCCGTTCCACCCCTGCACAGGAAGGATGATTTCAAACCAACCTTTTGGGCTGTCTCTTCGCGTTAATCTCGACTTTTGATGGCCAAGGGAAGTCACATCTTGATGGCATCCCCCCAATTGTGCTACGTACTTGCACGCCTGAGATTATACTAGTCCTAATGCGCCTTACTTCTGTACTCGCTCGAAGTGCTGGAGGACATCCGATCTCAAATAAAGGCGATCCGTGTAATTATTGCCTATAACCTTGTTCTCCAAAATAACGAGAAACATTATTAACGGCCAGTTTCTGAGGCATCTAGAGGGCCATCAGCTGATTAGCTATTCAGTACGATTATCATCGTGGTTGCTCAGCTTAGGTGACCTTCTTGTATATCTTATACTTAGAGGTAATTAAGTCCAAGGGGTAGGCGCTAGCGGTTAGTTTGAATATATAAAAGCCTTCGATCGGATGTGGTATATACACTCCTCTCGAAGCTTTCAGCCTGGATCTCCATATTTCTGGACTATCGGAGCATCAAGGCCGTAATCGACGGAGCATATTACGCGCCCCTTAAAGCGTGAGAGAGTGTTTAGATCATAAGTTTTGACAACAATGATAATTAACTGTTCATATTATTACGACAAAATGATAATTAATATGACATTTGCATGCCTATTTTTATATGGCTGATTGTGCGGTCGATTTGTATGATTCAAGACTATTGACTCTGTAAGCGTTTACTTAAATTTAATAGGATAAAGAAAAAAAAGTTACAATATTCGGTCAGTACCTATAAAAATAAACACTGGAGGAACTTCTGGCATGGCGATTAATTTATCCCATTGAATATTTTATAAAATTGCGTCTGTATGACCAGAGATAATGACTTCACAAATATATGAGTAAATTCCCCTTTACTATATTGAAACTAAAAATAATATTTATACTGATTAAAACTAGAAATTACCTTGTGTAACATTGCCAAGCAACTTATAAAAACTCTCATTCGCCTTGGTATTGTGTTAATTGCGATAAACGAAATTCCTACCAATATCAATACGTTTGTAAATAACACTATCTTCTTCATTATACCGTCATGATAGTATCTTGAATGGCCCTCGGTATCCGGAACAGAGATTAATTCTATCAATAAAATAATCAGATCCAGTGTTGCTAAAATAATTAATTTTATTCACATGTAGCGTATACATATATAACATCGCATATTTATAATACTTTAAAATATAATAACATTAAGGAAATGGTTTGTGGGGTCGTGTGACATATCGCTTTACGCTCGTATAATCTTTCTGGTAATCACAAAACTTTGTAAGTGCGTCTCAAAACTATACGTAGGAATGCAGCAGAAAGTGACTTATGACCGTTTAACAGACTTAGTTCATGAAAAACTGGAAATTTATTTATGTATTTATTTATAAAAGCTTGCCAACGCTCGGCACACTGATACATTGATAAAAGAAAAATAAAATATAATTTTTAATGTGTCAAGGCAGGCAAACATAGCATATAAGAAATAATAAAATTAATTAAGCAAAACAATAATATAATTTAAATAAATATTAAACGAAAATCGTTCTAATAAAGTGTGAGGGGAGCAACTATGGATATCCAGATCCAGCTCGTTTAACAGAATGCTCAATATGGACATCGGTGAATTTCGGCCAAAACGCGTTCTCCGGAAAGGAGGGATAAATGGAATGATGGGATGTCTGGGATATCTACTGGGTACACGAAATTTTAATTTTGTTAAAAGGTTGGGGCAATCTAGCTGATTGTTGAGTATCTTTATGGCAAACGATACATCAATTAATTTTTTGCGATTCTCCAGTGACAACATTTTGAACCAACTCTTTTGCTACTGTATACAGATTGCAAAGGATGCGGTGAACAAAAGTAATGTAAAAAAACACGTTTATGCATAACGTATCACACAAACTCTATGTGGAAGGGGAGATACGCCCGGTTAAAAAAAAAACTGTGTGTGTGTCAGCTCCGACGCACGACTGGAGTTTACTCCTTAAGTACGATTGTCTAAACATACGCAAAAAGAGTTTATTTAACTGAAAAAAGATTAATACCATATGAATGGGTAAATTAACAAATTAATGAAAATAATAAATCTTTAGACGTTTCGCAAAATTAAACCTTGATGTATTGACTTAAGGTCCAATTCCACATGCATCAATATCTGAGGAAAGAGACAAAAGAATTAAAACCGTAACTATATAGCATAAAAGTTCATAATCCTTTAAAATATAGGTGCGCATCAAAAACGTAACCAGGTCATTCATCAGTTTTACTCCTCACATTTTTCTCATACCGGGCGCCTTATATATGAAAATCGATTCTTAAGGAGTAAACTCCAAAAAGTAATGGACAAAACTTACATAACAATCCCAATAGTAGATAGCCATAGTAAATAGCTACTTTTGACAAGGTGATGCGATGTCCTTCCTGAATTTGTGTAATAGACAGAGGAGCTAAGCCGAAAACTCGTGATATTCTAAAAACAGTCAAAACGATGCCACTCACAATACACGTTGGTTCCATTGCCCCTGAAATTCTATAATATATTTGTACTATTAATTACCTCTGTACCTCAAGATTTTGTTAAAAATATACATGAGCGTATGGTATTGGCCTAATAGGTGATTAAATAAATAATCTTCACTCCCATTGCGATTATCATACATAGTACTAAAACATGTTCAACGTTTGATTGTGATTGGTCAATGATTTGTTTTTGAAGTTATACTTGTGTGAAGTGAAATTTTACGATGCGCGCGCACCGTGACACAAAATTAACAGAATGAAGTTGCCCACGGAAAATGCTACGGCATTGGACATAATTTAAAAACAACATTCGAATAATAATAGAATTTATGTTACACGTAATGTAAGAGAATAATAATAAATATTTATTTTTTTAATTTTTCAAATGAAAACTGAACTTTATTGACTATAATGACTCCTTTTCCAGTCTTTGATTATTTAATTGTAATTAATGATTTGCATGCAATCAAAAACTATTTTTAATAATGCCAAAGAAGTATTTCTTACGCGCGTACATAAGTACACGCACCCTTTTTTTCTCTGTCGTTCTACATAACCACTCTAACTTCGTACTGGCAGTAATAGGTACAGAAACATGATAACTTACATTAATATTTTCAATGAATTAAATAAACTGAGCCTGTTTATTATTTTTAATACTTACTTGAATTTTTCAATCTAAACAGAAGCGTGTTACACATAACTACGCCATAACCACAATAAATAGCGTTCAATATTCGATCGTACAACATTACTATATCATTATTCGATTGTATCATATTTAATGGCACCTGAAGGACATCATAGTAATAACATATTTCGTCAGGAAATCTTTTGTCGATTTCCAACGATATTAATTAATCGTTTGTGCAAGTGTCAATTGTGTTATTAGAAAAAAATCCTTTAAAATTTGATCCTCAACGTTGCTCGCCTAAAACAATAGTGCAAGACAAAAATATAATTTATTGATTTATTAATTTCTTTTTAAATAATATTTATATTTCCTAAGTGGACAAAAGTTACTGATGACTGTAATCCTAACATTTAGGGGTTTGAAAGATTAGTAGCCGATTCTCAGACTTACTAAATATGCATATAAAAATTCATAAGAATCGGTCAAGCCGTGTCGGAGGAGTATGGGAACGAACATTGTTGTCACAACAAGAGAATTTTATATATTAGATAGAGATTGACCTTAAACTGGAATCAAATGCAACTTCTTTCGATTGCATTGTGGCATCATTCGATCGATTTATTCGATGGTATTACTCTATTTTTGTCATGACAACTCAGAAACAACAATATTAAATTTTATGGACGATTATTTATCAAAGTTTTGTTTATGGCTAAAACTCATTTATATAAACAAAACGCTTAGACAATACAGAAAGCCAAAACAGATTACATAGATAAACAATATATAAGAAACAGAAAACAAATAAGTACATTAATAGACAAAAATATATAAAGAAAAACTAAAGAAAACTAAAATTTAACATTTGAAACAACAAATAATACTTAGGTTCTGTTTCACAATGTATGGATAAAGTACCAAATAGCTATTCAACACATAAATTATTTGGAAGATAAATAATTGTGCTATTTGACATTCATCGGACTCATAACTTATGATGGCCTTTATATGACGAATCTGACAGTCGTGAAACGCAACAATAGTTTTTAACCTTATCAATAAGTAATAAATAGCTAATTTGAAACTTATGTAGAACTTATCCGTACATTGTGAAACAGACCAGTTTTTTTTAAATTCCATTAGGGAAGGTATAGTTTACCAGATCCAGGTCAATTCACCTTGACTACTATAGCAATATATACTATTGACAACGGGGTAGCTGTGGCTGTTAATGTAAGAGACAAAAACTGTATTAAATATTTTATCACTATAGTATAATAAAAATAAAATAAACTATTCAATAAACATCAAATTATTGTAAGAATAATCTCAACCTATATCCACAACCTACCTTTGAGAACGTTTGAATTTATTAACAGATTAATAATTTAAGTACAAAAACAGTTACATACATACATATTTTAAGGTTCCATCACAGATACAATCATATTTCTATGAAAGACAGAATACAACCTTTATATAAATTGCTATATTGGCCTAAAACCTCAAATAAAAGATAATTACTCGTGCATCCAGTATGATTACTATCTTTATTAGAGCCAGGCTTTTATAAGATATTTGTGAATAATATTATATAATTCATAAAACTATTTAATTTATGATAATGATCCACCTCTCTCTGGTCTCCTGCCAAGATGGCACCCGAAAAAAACAAAATTTCATTTGCAATTCAATTGACACAAAATGTCTTTACGTTTACTGTCAGATGGCAAGTGCGTAAACGGACTATAGCATTCGCATCGAGCGTGTAACGCATCGAGCATGACCATGACATGATGAACGAGCGGCTCGTTGCTCGCTGGTTTCCCCGTAACACGACGTACTGACTGCACGAATGCTCGCTGTGTAACGTGTTACATTACACCTCGTAACGTTGGTCAGTTCCCACCTTAAGAACTGTGTGTATTATGATTCGCATGGGACATAAAATTTTTCTCATAGTTGCAGATGTCTGATTAATTATGGTCAATTGAAGACAATTACTAAGTCAAGACTGTCTGAAGGGAATGTAACGTCTTTACGTTTACTGTCAGATGGCAAGTGCGTAAAACGGACTATAAGAACTGTGTGTATTATAATTCGCATGGGACATACAATTTTTCTCATAGTTGCAGATGTCTGATTAATTATGGTCAATTGAAAACAATTACTAAGTCAAGACTGTCTGAAGGGAATGTAACGTTTAACGATAGATATAAAAAATATTATCAAAAGGCATTTGCAAGCTTTTAATAATTTTAAATCACGTTATAAACTCTGTTAATGATAACATTTTTAATGAAAGGTAATTCTATAATGTGAAGGAGTTTTTAGATTAAAAGTTTTGAGATAATAACATAGAATATGACAATATAAATAATTTTATGGTTTTAAATTATAATTCCTTGTTTGATATAGCTGATTGTTTGTTTTAATAGCAACGGTACATATTAACACTTTCTGGGCAAATAAACGATTTATTTATTTATTTAACTATAATTAAAGCTTCAATAACAATACAAAAAACATTTTCACTCGTCGGGTACGTGACAGTCGAACCTATAGTCTAGATTATTCGATATTTATTTGATTAACTATTATTTGTTAAAAATTACGTTTTATGGATTCTGTATCATATATAAATATATGTCTTTATTTATAATTTTTTACTTAAGGACACGTTTTGACTCGTAAAAACCATTTACACATATCACAAACTATTATTAAAATGATCTCATTTGGTCAAACTATTTAATTATTAAACTCTGTCTAATGATTTTCCTTTGCTCAGGCACGACTCAAAACGATTAAATATGTGAATTTTTTAAAGTATTTTATGTGTTTAAGCTAGACAAATCAAAACAAAATGTCTGTGAAATATGACACCAGCTCAATCAGGGCTTCGAACGGACGAAAAAATTTTCACTTCTACAGTCATTAGATTAATCTTTCGCTTTTTTTCTGACAAATTACGATGCTACCAATTAATATTTTTATAGTTGTTTTATACACAAAAAGAATTCTAAAAACACTTTGTTCCACTTATAAAATTTAATCGTTCTGCGTCATCAAACGCTAACCGCTTAAGATTACATTGAAGAATTTCATAATACATGACGCCCTAAATATGGTACTATAATGTATTAAGGAGCGCGCGACATCAATTCAGCATATTAAAAGTTAACGAGAAACGATGGGATGTTATTATGAGCGAAAGGAAGGGCTTCAATTGGTTTCTTTATTATTCATGTGATGTGTAAGTAACGAAAATTCGATTGGAAAAAGTTATAAAACGCAATCGTTCGTATATAAAAGTTATCTGAATTTAGTAAGTGAAGCCATTGTGACAACACTTTAAAGTTTCATAATAGTATAGTTTTGTTACAATTTATATAAACAAAGTATTTGTTTCGCAGCACAATTAAACTCCAGTATATTATCTAAGTGAGTATTGAAAATATGTAATGGTTTTTTTTCTCGTACGCAAGTTAGTCAAAGTCGAGGTCATGTGGTTAGTCTTCTTACTCTTCTATCATAGCAGCCATGTCCGAATCAATCTAGTGAACTGAAGATAAGAGAATTACACACACAAATAGATGTCTATTAAAGGTTACTATTGTAACATTTGTGATTATATCCAAGTGTGTAAAAATCAACAGTATAGGCTTAAGACACATAATAGAATAATGGCGCTCTTCATTCCTAATGGTAGCATATAAGCCACACACACATTTACATTCCAATGCTCTTTAACGAATGCAACATTTTGAATACTTCGTTCACAATTCCAACATTGTTTCACCCATTCATTACCTATATAGAATTGCTAAATCTTGTTTATTTCTTCATGGGCCGTGGGGTTCAAGCTGCTTATTTAAGATGGCACCTGATAGATAGTACCAGTGACCCCAGAGCTTTCCTTGCTGAACGAATAAGTATCGCAATACAGCGAGTAAATTCTGCCAGCGTTATAGGTACACTGCCACAGGGACCGAACTTTTTTAATTTGTTGTAATTTTCTTGTTATTAATTTTTAATTATTTTTATTATTACTACGTAAGTTAAGGAGATCGTATATACTATAGATATACTATAGATTCGATTGTTATGTTAAGGTTTTAATAAACAATTCAGTAATTTATTAAATGTATTTTTTTATATTATATAATGTGTTATATAGTGCGTGCTCCTATTTCACCATGCCTCCTGCTGATAGAGGACAAGTCTTTGTTTTTAATTTATGTTATTATTATTAATTACTTAAGATGTCATGTGGAACATGGTGTAATGGTTGCAGCTCCTTACAAACGTTGTGTAAAAAAAACATGGCGATTAAAAAGAGTGGCGGAGAGTTTATTGCCAG